CTCCAAAGGGTCCTAGGGTGTGTTCCATAAGACGGACCTCTCCATAAGGCTCACCAAATTTTTAGGACAAGAAAACAGATTTTTATTTTCTTGTTTTCTTCTAAAAATTTGGTGTGTTTTATGGTGCATCTTATGGAGCAAAAATACGGTATCTAATATTATAACACAATTTTTTTTGTGTGTTTTTCTCCTTTTCTATGGACACAATTTTTTTCTCCTTTCTGTGAACACTTGCTCTTTCTTCAGATCATACTAAAAGCATTGCCTGTACTTCAAGTTTGCCATAAAATCACTTTCAGCCAGGGATGGGGACTCGAGTCCCATGACTCGCTGTCGAGTCAAACTTAAGTCACACCAGTGCAATCAGAAACAATTGAGCAAGCTGCCACTAGAAAAACTTTAATGCACACAGTGGTGCCTTGTGAGCACTGACATGTGCAGAAGAGCTCGGTGGCCATCGGTGGCTGATAGAGATGGGACATTCATGGAATGATTAGCAGTGTATAAAAATTGTAATTGTTCATATATATCCATTTTTGTTACTTCAGTAAGATAAATTGGGCAAAGGGTTTTTTTTAATTCTCCAGAGGTTGCACATGGTGTTTGATCCTTCCCACCAGACCTGTGCAAAGCAAACCCCCATTTGTATATTACCCCATAATACACAGACTCTTTGGGCAATTAAACACATTAAAATCACACTAACATCACATTAGAATAAATGAAACCTTGCAATAAATCCCATAACATAGATTAAAACCTTGATCCTAGCTAAGGTAAAAGGTAAAGGTTCTGCTTGACAATTTGTCTAGTCGTGCCCAACTCTAGGGGGCAGTGCTCATCTCCGTTTCCAACCCATAGAGCTAGCATTTGTCCAAAGACAATCTTCTGTGGTCATGTGGCTAGCGCGACTAGACACGGAACACTGTTACCTTCCCACCGAGGTGGTCCCTATTTATCTACTTGCATTTTGCATGCTTTTGAACCACTAGGTTGGTGGGAGCTGGGACAAGCGACGGGGGCTCACTCCGTCGCGTGGATTTGATCTTACGACTGCAGGTCTTCTGACCTTGCAGCACAGAGGCGTCTGCCGTTTAACCCGCAGCGCCACCACATCCCAAATGACCCTAGCTAAAACCTATCTTAAATCGATTAAATAAATTAAACTGATTTTAGCACCTCAGGTAGTAAATTTCTTCATAATCTGACCATTGTAAAAGAAAATGTGACATTTTGGTATAAAAAATCCACCCTGGAAAGTAATACCATTTGATTTACTTGCTTTAAAATCATTATTTCAAAGTCTCCGGGCTCATATATTGCAAAACCATGACACCAAGTTATCAAACTGGATTGTTTCTTGCCTTTTATTTCTCTTCTGCTAGCTTTGATTCTGACAATCTTGTCGCCCTAGTAAAATATGTAGTCTTACAGTTTGGTTTATGTGAATGACATTGTGGTGAAATGGCAACAGGTGATGTCACTCCTGTCTGTCCATCACAGAAGCTCAAAAGGGAGGAGCCAAGGATAGGGCAGGAGGGGTGGAGTCAGAGAGGCAGTTGGGGATGTGAAATGGCAGGGTTTAGGAGAGAGAAGAGGAGGATTAGTGAACTGAGCTGAGAGATTTAAGAGAGTGAATTGAGAAAGTTAAAATATATTGAACCAGCAGGAATGAAATTATAAGTAATATAAGATAGATATTGATTAAAAGTATATAGTAGTTCAGAATAAATGTACAGTGGTGCCTCGCTTAACGAGCGCACCGTATAACGATGAATCCGCATAGCGATCCCGTTTTCAGGATTGCTAATGCGGAGGCATAGCGTCAGCCCCAATGGGCAAAACTCACATAGCGAAGATCGGTAAGCGTTTCGCTTACCGATCTTCACTTTGCGACGCCCGCAGATCAGCTGTTCGGCGGTTTCAAAATGGCCGCCGGATGCCCAAAATGGCCACGCGCAGCGTTTTCGCACCCTCCCCTCGCTTACCGAGGGCGTGAAAATGGCTGCCGGACCCTGGTAACTGGTAAATGGTGAGTTTTGTGCCCATTTGGGCAAAAATTAAATCATGGATGAGGGTGGTCTTATTTTTTGTGGACCTGCCATTTACCAACAGTATCATGTGGCCCGGGGGTGGCTGATATGGTCACCTACTGCCATTTGGCTGGGAATATAGATAGAAAGGGGGATAGGTGTAAGGTTTTAATCTCTTCCAATTCTACATAACATGTCCATTAGAAGTTTAAAAGAGATTGCCTATAATACTCCTAATGTATCTGTTTCAAAATAAGTTTACTTCCATAAACTACATATACTTCATATACAGTGGTGCCTTGCTTAACGAGCGCACCGTATAACGATGAATCCGCATAGCGATCCCGTTTTCAGGATTGCTAATGCGGAGGCATAGCGTCAGCCCCAATGGGCAAAACTCACATAGCGAAGATCGGTAAGCGTTTCGCTTACCGATCTTCACTTTGCGACGCCCGCAGATCAGCTGTTCGGCGGTTTCAAAATGGCCGCCGGATGCCCAAAATGGCCACGCGCAGCGTTTTCGCACCCTCCCCTCGCTTACCGAGGG